GAGAGAGACAGAGCACAAGCAGGGGGAGCAGCAGAGGGAGAGAGAGAAACAGGCGCTCCACTGAGCAGGGAGCCCGACGCGGGGCTGGATCCCAGGACCCTGGGATCATGACCTAAGCCAAAGGCAGACACTTAACCGACTGAACCACCCAGGCACCCCTCCAAAGTCTATATTCTTAACCACTAAACTATCATGGTATAGACACCAATTACATTAAGGACCAGTCTATAGCTGTTGCCCTCTGAGATCATTGCTCTGAACCAACTTGTCTGCCTTGCCCCAGGCAAGGTCCACTTCCCATATGTCATCCTACTGCTTGGCTTGGGGGGGGTGGGTTGTGACTCTCAGCCCCCATTCCCTGAACTTATTCCTGATCTGCTTTTTCCAACACTCAGATTCTTGGTTCTAGGACCCACCCCCATTTAACCTTTTTTTCCAATATTGGGATTACGACACTCTTCCTGTTATTCAGACCCCAAATGGACTCTAAGGGTTTGGTCTTAGGCTCCTGGAATCCCTATTACTTTGAGTAGAATACCTTACCTTAGTTTGGCTTCTCTGAGCCTGAACCCTGTCATCAACCATTTGGCCACATTTGGTTCCTCCATGGGAACAGAGGAAGGGACAAGAAGATGTATATCATATGCTGACATCTCCCTATATGTCTAGGCTGGAAGGGGCCAGTGAACAGGGAGCCACTGTTTGCACAACTCTAGAAAGCACCGTTCACACTGTGGTTTATGTAAATGGTGCCCCTAAAGCAAAGCTAGACCATAATGCCAATGGTGCCAACTGAGTCTGTGCAACATGGCAGCCCTGTGTGTACTAGCAGAAAAAGGCTGGGCTTCTTTTGATAAGTAATTAGCTCAAAGGAAAAGGAACAGACGGGGCAGGAATTGAAGTGTAGAGGAAGAAAATTAATAGGTATTGAGCCATGGAGGTTCTGCCTATATTATCCTCTGCAGTTTTCCCAGTAACCCTCTGAGGCTGGAGAATTACTGGCTCACTTGTCCAAAGCCACGTAGCTGGTAAGTGGTGCTGAATGCAGGGCCAGGAAAAGATGCTTATTTTGCTACCAAGATGGAATTTAAAGCAAGTTGGGTTTCAGAGATTTTTATTTTCAGAGACTAGAACACCTGTTTGACAAGGGGAAAATTTTCAGCAGAACTTAAAATCTTTTCTGCATTGGACTCTCTTATTTGCAGGAATTCAGCATGATTTCAAACTCCTGGAGTTCAGGTGACTGAGCTCTTTAAGGAGAATTAAGGTTTTGGACCTCTGTGCTTGGGGCTTCTGCACAACACTCAGCCGCCAGAGTGTGTCCTGAATTCAGCACACATCCACCTCTACTCATCACATCATCTTCAGGAACAGCTGTGGTCCTGCCAGCTGTCTGACTTGATTGTCAATATTCCCACTTTTCCATCCACTGTCCACCACTCCATTTGGGGCCTGAATGATCTGCAATCACCCCCAGAAAAATAAAGTATGTCCACGAGATACTACTAACAGAGGCAAATTTTCCACAAGGAAAAGAGCAGGAGTTGTAGCTGAATCATCTGCTATCCAGAAAACCCAGACCTGTTTTTCTAAGAATTCTCATCAAGGAAATTTTTCTCTGGGAATTTTGAAGAAAACGATCCTTTTTGGCTGAGATATCTGAGAGGTAAGACTGATGACCTCCTGGCATTGATCACTGACCACATGACAATGCTAATAATCAAAATAGCAACCAACATGAATCTAGCACATAATGTGTGCCATGTGTTCATGCCTCCGGTTCTTGCAAACACCCTTTAAGTATTCTTTCTGCTACTGTGTAGTTGAGTAAACTGAGGCAGAGAGCATGAAGGCTGAGTAAGGAATCTGCGTCTAACTCTAAGTCCATGCGTTTGAAGGCTGATCCAGCTCATGTTTGAAACTTTTTCTAAAGAAAGTTCTTAAAAATGCTAATACAGAACTGACGTCAATTCCTCCACCTTGGAGAAAATTCAGGTAATTTTAGAAACCAAAGCTCCATGGCAAATACCTCTCTTTTACCTTTGCATTAGCTGGGATATCTTCCTCCTCTTTGGTGATATATTCTGTCCATGTGTACCAATGTCCACTACCTTGCTTGAGGAAATAAAAATCATAGATGCTTCCTGGATTCAAAGACACAGAACAGGTCATTAGCATGCCAGGGGTTTACATTTCATACTTAAGGTATTTTACCACCTCAGCTAGAGGCCTCTGAAAATGTACAACTACCGGCCCTGGCAGAGCTGTGGTGAAACTTACACATTAATGGTAACTGTATAAACTGGAAAAACAGCTTTTAAAGAGTAATGACTTTATCCTTTGTATAAAAAAATGACAGGTACTAATTATACAAAGAATTACTTTAATAATGTAAAACAGGAAGTATTGCACAACAGAAGAAGGCAATAAATTTTCAAATCTCACATCCAGAAATAACTTGCTATCAAGCAATCCTTCTGGCTTTCTCTCTGGCACACAAACACATTGAACATGGGAGGACAGATGAAAGAAAGGATTTAATAAGGATAGGATCATTTGATATTATATATTATACTGTTATATATTGTACTATTATACATTAATATATGATACATATTCTATTAATGTACACATATATAATTACATATCACATATTAAAATTATTATATATGATATATATATTATACTACTTTAAAATAAAGATGTTAAATTTCATTACACTTAACTATAGCAGAAGAAAAGGAGAGTAAAAACAAGTAAAACTGAAGGACCAGCTGAACTTCATATAAATCATGATTTACTACAAGAGATATTAGTTCCTAAAAGATGCTTTTTGAAAAAAAAAATTGAGGTATGATTGACATAATAGTTTCAAGTGTACAACATAATGATTTGATATTTGTATATACTGAGAAATGATCACCACAATAAGACTAGTTAACATTCGTCTCCACATACAGTAACAAATTTTTTTTCTTGTGATGAGAACTTTTAAGATCTACTCTCTCAGCAAGATGCTTTTTTTAAAAAAAAAATCTTTATTCAACTTTTAACCATCACCAACAGGCATTAACAAACATTTTCTTAAGAACAATAATCTCCAGGGGCCCCTGGGTGGCTCAGTGGGTTAGGTGTCTTGATTTTGGCCCAGGTCATGATATTGAGCCCAGGTCATGATATTGAGCCCCACAATGGGCTCTACACTGAGTGGAGCCTGCTTAGGATTCTCTCTCTCCCTCTGTCCCTCCTCCCACTTGCATGTGCATACGCACTTCTCTCTCTCAAAAAAAAAAAAAAATCTCCATACCCAACGTGGGGCTTGAACTCATGACCCCAAGATCAAGAGCTGCATGCTCTACTGGTTGAGCCAGCCAGGAGCCCCATGATGCTTCTTAACTAAAAAATAATTTTAAGTGATTATAGGCTTAAAGTTATTATGCTTTTAAAAATCATTTAGTCCAACTTTAGGATTGTAGTTTAACTTTTTATCATGTAAAAAAATTAATTTAAATACATGAAAGTAAGGAGAATAGTATACTAACCTGCCATGTACCCATTATCTGGCTTCAATAATTATCAGCATTTCGCTATTCTTGTCTCATCCATGTCCCCACCACTAATCACCACCATATTCATTTGCCACCCTCCCTTTCCCTCTCCCCCTCTCTCTCCCAGCCCTTTCCTTTCTTCTTTCTCTGTCTGGAGTATTTTGAAGCAAATCCAGACATTATATTTCATTTGTAAATCCACATGACTCAACATTAGACCAATTTCATTGATTCGTTTATAAGCTATGAGGTTATTAACCCACTCTTCTTTCCATCTCCCCTCCTCTGGGGTCTTTTGTTGTTGCTGAGGATAACCATAATTCTCCCATTCCTTAGTCTGAGGTCTATATTTCAATAGATTCAATGCTGAAATTTAAGGTTTCTAACACAGACCATTCAACAGTTCTTCATTTGGATTGTTCAACGAATCAGTTGGCTGATTTCTTTTCTTTTCTTTTTTTTCCCAAGAAGGGACTTAGAGGTGCTCCATTCTCTCAGTTCTTGCAAGTTTGGTAATATCTGTCAGCTGATTTTTTTTTTGAACAGTGACTTGACTGAGAGTGATATTCTCATGTCACATTTTCTTTCCTTCAGACTTCTGGCTGTTGTCTTATGCTTCCCTGTGTACTAAGTTACTGTGTGGAAGTGTGAGATCCATCAGATACTTCCCCCTTCACTGACCTTTTTTTCCTTATCTAGATGTGTGATGCAATCTCTTTTATCTATAAGCCCAATAACTTATTCGGGCTATGTCTTTGGGTCAATTATTCTATATCAGTTTTTCTTGAAACATAGCATGCTCATAATATGTTAACATTTTAGGAACAATTTCTCATTCATATCTTTGTATATATTGTCTATACTATTTGCTGAGTTACCTACTTAAGGAAATAGCATTATTTGGCCTCCATATCAATCATATTATTGATAATCACTTTAACATATTTGGCTTTTCTTCTATAGTAAGTGTAGTTCTCTCAACCCTTCCCTCTAAGCCATTTATGAGATGTCTACACTTTATTCCTTGTTATTCCTAATGTATTTATTAGATCATTAATGGTATTGTTTCATTGTCAATTTGTTTCTTTGGTTTTTATTTTATTTAAATTCAATTAACATATAGTATATTATTAGTTTCAGAGGTAGAGTTCAGGGATTCATCAGTTGTATATAATACCCAGTGCTCATTACATCACGTGCCCTCCTTAATGCCCATCATCCAGTTACCCCATCTCCCTACCCCCTTCCCTCCAGAAACCCTATTTGTTTCCTATAGTTAAGAGTCTCTTGTGGTTTGTCTCCCTCTCTGATTGTCTTATTTTTCCCCCCCTTTCCCTTATGATCCTCTGTTTCTTAAATTCCACATATGAGTGAAATCATATAATTGTCTTTCTTTGCTTGACTTATTTCACTTAGCATAATACCCTCTA